CAGCCAGGCAGGATGCTGGACTGTCCCTGAAACATCACACAGCCTTCCCTGCTGCACCAGGACAGCCCCCACCAAGAGCCAGGAGCAGGGCACAAAGAGGTGGCGAGGGGGTCTGCAGCTTCACAGCACTGCTGACAACAGGGGCAGGGAGAGGAGAGACACGAGGGGAGTTTCCAGCTTTAACACAGCCCCAGTGAGTACTTACAGTTAAAGATTTCATCATTTCCCGCGACAAAAGATGAGGCGTCAGTGTCGTTCTCGGGAATCCAGAAGCCATTTTCAAGGGAGAATGTCACAGATGAGCGACAATGCCTCAACAAAAGGAGCAACAAGGAACTCTGAAAATCCAGAACCCAACTCATGGCAGATGCAAGGGATATACTGGTGCTAAAAATTTTATATGATTTGAAAGTAGCTGAGAGCTTGTTTAGCATAAGTAGCCAAACTTTTATTGTTAGGCCTCTAGCTGGACTTTATTTGAATTATATGGCTATGTTGTGCAATTCAAAGATGGCTCATACTGAAACCTGGAGCTAAAAAGCTGAACACTAATAATAGCTAGGACAAAGCTATAGCTTAAATATTACTTAAAAATAGCTCGAGTGGACCTCCTCTTCTTTAGGCTAAACAAGCCCTGCTCTCTCAGCTGCTCCTCACAGGACTTGAGAGAGACTGGAATGTTATGGCAAATGGCTTAAACATTGCTATAACAGACTTTTTGCCCATTGTGACAAAACTGAATAAAGAAGCTGAGACCACCCAAGCCCACCCTGCCCTGAAAATGCCTCCTGACTGGAATTCAGGACTGTGAGTTAAGCCACCTAAGGGAACTTGAGACAAGATAAAGGTGACACTATTGTCCTGTTATCTCAGGTCTGGGGAGAAGTAAACAAGGCTAAGGGAGAAAAATGTATCCACAATAAAGCCAAACCCAGCAGCTGTCCTGAAAATCAGCTCTGTCTGCCTTCAGGTTGGAGAAGTCATAGCCACAGACTCATTCTGCTGAGGTCAGGTTTGCACACAAACCTCCCATCAACAGAGGGGAAGAAGGAAATTTAGGGTGTGTGGTGCAACCTCTGGTAAGAGGCAGTGGACACCCATCCTCCCTCACACAAACTGGCTCAGCTCCAAAACCCCCCAGCCCCAGAAGGCCACATCCAGGGCACATTCCCACGAGGGGCAGCTCAGGGGGTGTCATAACCCATCAAAGACCTCCAAAGTGCCCCCAGACCCTTCCCTGAGGCCCTGCACTAGATGACTGCATGGCAAGCCACGTAACACAACAGACCTGAAAATCCACAACCCAATTCGTGGCAGACCCAAAGGATATACTGGTGCTCAGGATTTGATATTACTGAAAAGTAGCAAGAGACAGAGTCCAACTTGCCTGCCCCAGGGAGGTACCTGGGCAGTCCCACCTTGCCCAAATCTGCATTAATCCACTGGAGTCCTATGTTTTGCGAGACCTCACCACAGAGAAGACCAGAAGAGGATTTCATGGTTTCCAGAGGGATCCATGCAATGTAGACACCTTCTACTTAATCTGTCACTCTCTTTCTCTCCCTCTCCCCAATGCCGTTCTCCATTTCTCTCTCTCCCTTCCTCACATTTACTGTTACATAAAATCCAGACTACTGACTTTGGCATATGGTCTCATTTGCACCTTAATTCAGGGACATCGCCCAAATAATTTTAATAACCAGATCGTAACAACCTACTGAAACTTAAACAGAACTCATTCAACTTTAAGCAGTTGAAGTAATCGTTGTAGGAAAAAAATGTACAGGCTGCTATACTTAGGAAATTTTGCCTTTCTTCAAAGGCAAATTTTGAAAAAAAAAAAGCACAATCAGTGGACCATCTATCATTCATCCACTCGGCTGTACATGCCACTGAACTGCTGCACCAGAAGACTGGTATTATCACACCCTGTATTTCCCTCTGGAATTTCTCTTTCAGAGCACAGATGTGTCAAAACCAAAAGTACAACTTTAGTCAATCTTTACCTTCAAACGAGATTCGGGACACCCTCGCAGACACCAAGGGTCTGCGAGTTCAGGACTCGCTCGCGGACAATTAGTTTGGCGAATCGCCGAGTGCAGC